AATGAACTTGTATGATCTTATACAAGTTGCATTACTTTTGAAAGACAAATCATTTTCTTATCTTCAAAACACAGAACTGGAGGAATTCAAGCTTGGAGTTGCTCACATCAAAATCTTCATCGAAAATTACTATGAGTGTTTGGCAATGACTGATGTGGAGTTAGCAACAACTAAAGGAATGGAAATAAAAGCTCTAATGGCTCCTTCGAAGACTCAGGCTGATTTAAAGAAGTATGATGATGGTGAAATTTGCCTAAAGCCTTTTGGATTAGTCTTCGCAGGAAAAGACAAAGCTGGAAAAGCGAAAAGGTTTTTATTTCAGGCAAGTGAAGTGGAAAGGTATTCAACGTCTGAATATACGAACTTAATTGTTCATATGAATCACTGCAAGAAGAACAATGAAGGAGATAAGAAAGAGTTGAAGAAAATTATCTCCTGGTACACTGAGATTCGAAGGGTGTTGCTGTACTCCATCACACTTCTTACAAGCTGAAGACTTCGACTATGATTACAAAGGGGGAGATTGTAAGGGTCTAAATGTTGTAATTAGTCGAAGTATGTTTTGTTCCCTTCGAATATTTTGTAATGTATTTTACTAGGGCACTTATGTTCGAAGCGTTAGAGTCAAAGCCTTAGTATATTTTTTGTACGCTTTCCTCTCCTATAAATAGGAGTGTTTACTAGAGTCTTTTACAGGATGGTCACTTGTACTCTGTAAAAACTTGAGAGCGTAATAGAGCTGAAACAAGATCATATTTACATCTGTGTTCAAATCTCGCAATCTTACTTTGATCATTAAACTCTGATTCATTTCATACTCGATTCATTGCTTCATCAAATACATAAATTTTTCAGAAATTTAGCATAACGAGGAATGTGTTTTATAACATCTAAAATTGGAAGATTTACCTCAACCTTGCGAAAAATTTCCATAATGTCCTCATCATCTCTTTCGCGCTTTGTACTCTTTAGTCTTGATGGGAATGGAGGTAGGAGTTTATATTCTTTCAGATTCAGCTTCACTGGTGTTGGAGTTTCTTTCTCTTCCAGTTTTTTCAGATTCTTCTTCAACCAACACCTCTTCATATTCCCCAGCTTCTACTTTTTCTTTTTCTTCCACATCTCCTTCTTCTATCAGAACTTCTTCAAATTCTTTTTCAGCTTCGTTTATGGTCCTTTAAAATCTCATTCTTCAACCAGAACTCCTTGGTTACTGATTTGAAGATTGATGCTGAAAATTCAGATTCTGGAAATTGGGCTGAAAATGAGAATTCTGCTAAAAGTTCGTTTGCTGAAAACCCGGTGGTGGATGAAATTGTTGTCTTTGTTAATAGTTATTCTGATAAAAATTTGGAGGCTGATTATAAGTCTTCTGTTGCTGGTATCCTCCAACAGCTTTGACTGGAGCAACATCCTCTTGCAAAATCGAAAACATATCAGTTGGATGTTCCGTCTTCAAGCAGATACCACATGGTTTCTTTGCAGCTACTTTTTCTTTTTTCAGGAGTAGAACAACCTTTGTTAGTTTAGATATTTGGGACTCCAGATGAGCATTTATGATTTCCTTGACACCCCTTGGTTGATCTGGATACCACTCGTCTTCATTTCCGGAATGTTTAGACTCGATCGCCAGCTTTTCGATAAGCTCTCTGATTTTAGTTGGTGTCATATCACCCAAGGAACCACCACTGGAAGCATTTATAATGTGCCTCTCCATGGGTGCTAGACCTTCACAGAAGTAGTTATAGAGTTGATAGTCGCTGATCCCATGTTGTGGGAACCGAACCAAAAGCTTCTTTAACCTTTCGCAGTAAGTGTGTAAAGCTTCTCTTTTTCCTTTTTTGATCCCAAGGATTTCTCTTCTGAGATTGGAGACTTGTGTTTCTGGAAAATACTTCTCTAAGAATAGCTTCACGATCTGTGTCCAAGTGGTGATGGAACCAGATGGGAGTTCATATAGCCATTATCTTGCTGAATCTTGAAGTGCAAAGGGGAATGCCCTTAACTTTATTTGATCTTCAGTGACAACATGTGGCTTCATTCCTAAACATACCACATGAAATTCCTTAAGGAATTTATGTGGATCTTCATTTTCTAAACCTCAGAATGTGGGAAGAAAATGTATCAACCCAGATTTTAGCTCAAAGTTCTGGGCTTCTGGAAAGGTGATGCAGAGGGGCCGCTGATTGACATCTTGAGCGGCCCCCTCTCTGAGATTCTTTTATGCTTCGTCTCCACTCATGTATGAATCTTCATATTCAGATTCTGAAGAATCCGTGGGTTTAGATTTGACGGAAGAGGGTGGGGAAATTGTTTTATAAGAGTTGTTTTGAGGAGAAGATGGGGGTACTTTCGGAAAAAAAGAATATGGTTCGTTCCATAAGGGAGTGCCTTGTGGTGTGGAGATTTCTAGAGGTACGGAAGATGATGAACCAAAGAGACCAGCTGATCATTTCTTTCTTGCTGCTTCTTTCTTCAGTTTCCTTGCAGTTCACTCGATTTCTGGATTAAAAGCTAGAGGTGTACCTGAACAAAAAATTATTGGCATAAAACTATTAGAAGGAACCGTGTCCCCAGCAACGACGCCAATTTGTTAAGACCGGTTGTCGCACCTGATTTAAACAAGTAAAATTGTCACTGTTGGTTGCACTAAAAATAAAGCACATGAAAGTAGGGTCGAATCCTCATGGACACATCCTAAAAGTCAATGCCTTTTTGCATCAGGCACAATCTAGTCAAGACATATATTATTAAGAAGGGGGATTTTAAATTAAACTAAAAACTAAAATTTCAGTGATATTAAATTAAACAAAAATCAATATAATAAAACGATTTCAGTTTCTGCTGCGACTTTCCTAATCATGCAACTAGCCCAGATCTAATTATTTAATGTGCGTTCTATCTAAGTTGGTACTGAGAAAAACTAACAAGCTCTAGTATAATCTCTTTTACCTAAATTAGTTAACCAAAACGAGCTCTTTGAATTAACCCTAACTTTTTACTGTTAAATTAAACAAGCTCTTAATCAAATAAGAAAAACTGCATTAAAATTTGTGTAAAATTACCAACAATACCCAATACTTCTCACAAGCTGAGAAGCGTAAAGGTATGATTTTTACATTTTTTATTAGAGTTAAATCCAAAAACGGAACCAATCTGATACTTGTTACATTTACCAGTTGACAAGAACAATTACAAATTCTATTAACTGATTAACTGAATGAAAAAAACCCTACCTAGGTGATCAGACTAACAAGAATTTAATCCAAACGTTCATTAAGCTCAAAATTGAAAAATCTAGATAGAAACGCAAAACGAAAATTAGATCTGAAAACTAATCACATGAGAAGTACTACTCTATGCAAAACTGAAAACTAAAGTTTAGCCAGACATGGCCACAAATGAAATCAAACTAGATAAAAGTAACATTTACTGATAAATCATCAAAACTAAATGTGTGAGATGATTCGCAGTCTTCAGATCACCAAAAGTTGCTGAAAGAATTCAAAAATCGCCTTCTGAAGAGGTTTTCTTCATCTGTAATCGTCCAACCCTTACAGTTGATTATAAGGGTTATATTTATACTCAAGGTGGATGATTCTGGAACAAGAATCTGAAGACATACGATCGCAGGTAGGCCCTATGTGATCGCAGGTTCCCTTAAAAACGTGTATCAGGCTGATTTAATGACGTACGTTGATGTTCTGGGCTTTTTGGACATACATGTGATGGCAGGTGCATGTATATGCGATCGAAAATTCTGAAAAATCTTCCAGGATTGCATCTGAATGAAGCCCAAAGTCAAATCTAAAATTTTCGAAGTTGCTGCCCAATGATTCGATCACAGGTTTGCCCCATGCGATCGCAAGTACCTCTTTTTTGAATTATGGACACAAAAGATCCTCGAAACTGATCTACGAACAAGATGCGACCAACTTGCGATCAACCTGCGATCACAGGTTCCTTATATGCGATCACATATATGTGTTTTCTGCTTGTTTCAGACGTGATTCTTCGGTTTAAGCATTCCTTGTTATTCCTTAGCATCCTTTTTCAGTTATTACACCATTTTAAGCTCCAAACGCACATCCAACTGCTCCCAAAGCACTGCTCCACTCGAGCTGACATAAAAAACATGAGTAGTACGGGAATTCTAATAAAATACATGAGCTGAACATTATTCACTACAAGAATATATGCTTTTAATGACACGTAAAACACGACACACACTGATTTATGTTACGCAAAAGAGAGTGACCTTAAAATAGTGTCATCTCTTCAAAAAATTTAAGGATTTACGTCACGCATTATTGAGTGCCCTTAAATTAGTGTCTCAAGAAAAAAAATTAAAAACACGGAGGACGCTTTTTCTTAAACGCGCGTCCTCTATACCTGTCGCTTTATAATTTTAATGAAATGCGTTTAGCAGACAAGGGGGGGAAACGAAATCCCCAAAATTTTTAAAGCCCTCTGTTCTTTTCTACCTTCTTTCTATCTTTCATCTTCGCAATCGACTCTCTCCTCTAAGATCCGCTTCTCCGCTACTCTTGACCTCCTTCTCATCAGTCTGATCAAACATCTCGTTCCTCACCTTTTCCGTTGACCATTGGTCCTTCCCTAGTGGCCATGCTCCTACCGAATGATCATCTGTCCAAGCACAATCGGTGGTGTCTATTTAATTTTCTTCCTCTATTAATTTATGCAACTCGAATCCTAGTTAAATCCACCTCCATGGACGAAATTAAAGTTAAGCAAGAGGTCTAGGGTTTCGGGTATTGGTGATTGATCTCAAAGTTCCGACGATGATTCGTCTACTTCTGGTAATGTAGTTAGTAACGGCAAGAGGTCTAAGGTTTCGGGTATTGGTGGTGGTGACGAAGGTCATGGTCATCGTCTTCATAGTTGAGTTTTGTTTTCGTTTTTAAGTTTTTGCACCATCTGTTTCCCTTTATTTTTCTATGAAATTAATCCCTTTCCACATTAATCACGCAGGACACCACATGTATGCTGTATCCAGCCAATCAAAGCCACTGCCACTCAGGCACCTCTTGCTGTTTCAAGTAAGAAGTTGTATAAGCGTTCATAGCATGCCTTCTATCTGTTCGATGTTATACTGAAGCTACTTTTTAAAATTTTCCTGTAACAAATTCTCCCTGCTTTGATTTTCCATAGAGACCAGTACCGGAGGGAAGACCAAGGTTGGAATCAATGGTATGCTTTCTCAAAATTCTTAGGTTTTTCACTCTATGTTTCCAGATTTACTTTTGAACATATACTTCATCAGATAAAATAATGAAAATAATGGTCTTAATGTTTCAGCGTATGGGTAGAATTAAAAGAACATCAACCTTGCAGGTTTTTGACAAATTGGAAGGTTAGTTTTGAGAATAGCAACATGTATAGATGATATTGAGGTTGTTGCAGTCAACGACCCTATTATTGATTCCAAGTACATGGTAAGGGTTTAAGCATATGATGATTTTGTAAAAATTACATCAATTTATTTGAAAGATAACTGTGAGATGATTCATGATTTATGATTGACCTTTTTATGCTTACTTGTTGAAGTATGATTCTACTCATGGCTTCTTTAAAGGAACCATCAAGGTTATTGATGAGTCCACTTTAGAAATCAACGGGAAGCAAATAAAAGTAACCAGCCAAAGGTATATATTTATCCCTTTTGTTACTTGTGAATTTACTTTTTTTATCCTAGAAATAAAACTCACGTTTTGTTCAGAGATCCAGCCACAATTCCATGGGGTGATTTTGGAGCTGACTATATTCAGAGATCCAGCCACAAGAAGGTAAATGTAAACCAACAAATTTGGTTCACTTCTAAAAGATGTTTATACCCCTGGGCTAATTTTGTTGGTGCGAATGACTCGATGTGCAGGGTGGTGCTAAGAAGGTGGTGATCTCAGCTCCATCAGCTGATGCGCCCATGTTTGTTGTAGGGGTAAATGAGACCACATACAAACCAAACATGGATATTGTATCCAATGCCAGCTGTACTACTAACTGCTTAGCCCATTTAGCCAAGGTACTTATCTTTTCCTGTATGTATGGATAAAATGGCTGAATGGTTAAATGCTTAATTCAAAAAGAAACAGCTCTTAATGTTTTTTATATAATGGTTCTCTTTTTATTTTTATATATAGGTGGTTCATGAGGAGTTTGGTATCATTGAAGGTTTGATGACAACTGTACACGCAACCACAGGTGTTGATATTTATTCAAACCTTCATTTTTCATTCTCTTTATATATAAAATTTTCATTTAAATTTAATAAGCTGTTGTTATTTTATTTGTTTTCTGCTACACAAAAAACGGTTAATGGACCTTCAATGAAGGATTGGCGTGGAGGACGTGGCGCTGCACAAAACATCATCCCTAGTTTCATTAGTGTTGCCAAGGTATATATTATTCTCATATAAAATAAAATTGTAAATTTTTATATTTTTTTTAATAAATCTTTTTATATTTTATAAAAAAATTTAGGCTGTGGGAAAGGTATTGCCAGAGCTAAATGGAAAGCTTACTGGAATGGCTTTTAGGGTTCATGGTTTGATGGGTTTAACCAACCAAATAGTCTTACGTTATGTTCCATAATTTCCCCTGATACAGACACGATGCTCTCATTCAGTCGTCCGTCAAATCTTCTGAATACATCAACTAGTATGATTATGATGTCATACCTTTTCTTATTTTGCTTGCTTGCCACCTCATCTTATTCACTTTGGATTCTCTATGGTTCTCTCTTCCTACCTGCTTTACTTTTTGTAGCTGGAGTCATTTCTATGGTTCGTATTGCAAATGTAGGTACATTCTCTACCCATTTGACCCATTGGAAATAAAATTTATCCCAAAATGACCAATTTTCCCTTTCTATTTTTCCAGGCTATGGGTAGCCTGTCTGTGGATGAGTCGCCAGAGCTATCTGAAGCAGACATGGTTGTCTTTTTTAGAAATTGTCATATATAGTAATGAAATTGTTTAAAAAATGGGTCTAAGTGATGCAGGCATTGTATGGAAATTATTGTTCTTCCCTATGTGTCCATTTGTACATAGAAGGTGGATTATTGCCTTACTTGTGCATTGTATTTGTTGAGAGTTGTATTTCAGTATGTAATATGTATGTCCTTAAACTTGATTATTTGTCTTTAAGTGATGCAGGTATCACATCTTGAAGCGTTACTTGAACCAGTTGGTTGTTGCTTTCACTTGTATGGAAATTCTGATTGTTGCTTTCACTTTGACTTTTAATTGACACCAATGACTAATTGTCTATACAGTTCTAGCAATTCGTTAAACCACTTCATATTTCACTTTCTACCCAAGATGCATAGATTAATTCTTTTTCTTTTATTTTGTTTATTGCATTTGGCTACTTCTAATAATTTTAAACTTAACCTCACGAAATGAATTGCATGTGTTTGCAACTCCTGAAGTTCAAATGGGATTCCATCCAGATGCAGGGGTTTCATTTTATCTTTTTCGCCTCCCTGGTTATTTAGGTTGCAATCCAACTCTTAATTCATTATTTTTTATTTTCATTATTTCCAAGAATAAAATATTCTTAACCCTTCGGAATTTTAAATCCTAATTCTGTTTTTCTTGTGTTTTTGTTGGTGAATACTAACCATGGTTGGTTTGTTGACAGGTCCAAATCATATGATGCATGAGGTACTATTAACATTTTTTGATTTAATGTATGCTTATTCATTTCATCAATTACACATATATTATTGACTATTTACAGATGTGGAATCCTCTTGGAGTAGTTGGTGTTATTACAGCACTGTGGAAGGCCCCTGGACCACAGTGAGACTAAACTATGTTGCACACGCTGCCTGCTGGCCATTAGGAAATGTTGTAGTTGCAAGTGAATTCCTTGTAGAGGATGGAAATAGATATGTGAATATCAGATCTTTGGTTTCAGTTACCAACAACACAGATTTAGTACTCGAATTATGCCTCCAGCCTGATGCTTCTTCTAAAGAGAATTTGGATACCTTAGAAGATTCCAGAACAGATTCCCCAAAAGATGCCATAGAGACAGATGTACAGAAACAGATTGTCATTGGAGAACTGAAACCTAGAGAAAGTCTTCCACTTCCACTTTTTGGACTTGTTCCCTAAAAGTTGTCAATTGTTAAGAAATCCAGAAACTCAGAAGCACCACCCGAGGGTCAAAACATGACAGATGCTTCCGAAAGTGTAATAACCGAAGAGGCTCCTCCGGTCAATGTTGTAGACGAAAGTCAAAGTCTGATGCCAAATGCAACCAAGCAAGCACTATCACCTGTTGTTTATATGTATTATTAATTATTAATCATTGATTGGTATATGTTATTGCAGGGATTTGTTTTTGAATGATATGGCTGATTATGGATTTTGAGTTCATATATATATATATATATATATATATATATATATATATATATATATATATATATATCTTACTTTTTTTTACATTTTTGCTTATTTTAATATGCATTTGTTGTTGGTATATGCAAGGTTGTTCATTTGTTCTTGAACATAACTATGAAATGGAAAGGCCTTTGGCACCCAGGACTCTAAGAGTTTATTCTCCATATTGGTTGATGATTGCTAGATGTCCGCCACTTACATTCAGGCTTGTAGATATGTCTGCAAAAAAAAGCAAAACGAAACCCTTTTAAGTCAAAAAAGACGAATGAGGCAATCTTAGAGGAGATCACTGAAGAGGAATTGCATGAAGGCTATACCATTGATTCATCTCTCAACTTCAAACTGTTGGGCCTGTCTACTTCCATTAGCGACAATGGAAATGATCATTTTGGGGATGTTACAGATCTTTCTCCACTTGCTGACATGGTAATTGTCACACCCCAAACCGGAACGACGGAAACGTTCGGGGGCGGAGGACGTCATGTATAGTATCACAACAATTGCATAATAGTAATCAAAGTACAACAACCATGTATTGATAAAGTATAAGTTTTTACATATGTGTTCAAATAATTGTATACTTGACACCAAAAATGTATATCAAAAGTTAAAAGACATGAGTCTATAATGCTTCGTCTTCTCAAAAACCCGTGAATGTACCTGTTTACTGATTTCCTCAGAATACAAGTAGTTTTGAAAAGAGTGTCAACAATTAAGTTGGTGAGTTCATAAGCATGTTTGTAATTGAAATTTTGTCGTTGTTCTTTGAAAATGTAAACATGTTTTTCCAAGAAAATCCTATATTTTCTGTTGTAATTTCTTGTACTCAAAACATGTAAATGTTATCGTACTCTGATATAGTATGCTATAGTTTTAATCCATATGAAACCATGAAAAGTATGTTTTCTCTATACTGACTTAGTATTATGTATTACTACTTGTAAAATATTGTATTATAGTTTTATTATTTAATAAAACTATGTGAAGATGTTTACTTATTCATACACTAATCGTATTGTTCAATACCAAATTGTGAGTTACCGTAATCATGCTTGATGACCTAAGATGGCCTGAACACGACGTTCTTCAGGCGTCGCAATCGGTACGACATTTATCACCTCAGACCTGCCGGGCTAGCTGTTGCAAGCAGCTCAGGTGCCGGATTGTCAGTCCCGTATAGATCTATACAGAAGTGTCACGCTCTCCCTCCAAGAGACTCTGGTTATAATATCAGGACTTGGTTGGTACTCAAATAAGTACTTGAAGTGTGTCTCACAAATGCTATATTGATGATTACATATAGAATAAAAAAAAGTTACTTTGTAATGAATAAACTGTAAGTATATCCCATAAACTATATTTAATATAGTTTATATGTTTGTTTTCCGTAAAGTGTCCTGGATATGTATAATAGTGCATATGATCCATAAACTATACTTATTATTGTTTATACGTTTGTTATCCGTATTGTAATCTGAACTTTGAAAGCAATATGTAAGTTTCATAAACTATACTTACTATAGTTTATATGTTTGTGTTTTACTAGAATGAAAACCTTTGTTTAATTTGTAAAATTTGTAATACGGTTGTTCCGTGAAATTCAACATTTATGTCCAAATGGTACTAAAACAGTTTGCAAAATTTATAATTTTTTGTTTAGCAAGTTTGAAATCATTTTATACTTATATAAATATAATATTTATATAATTATGATTAAATAGACAGTCGAATAAATAATTCGACCCCAAGCTCACAACCAAACAAGAAACAGGAAATGGTGTCAAATTATCAATTCTAAGTGTGTTGAATCCTAATTATAATATATATATATATATATATATATATATATATATATATATATATAATTTTAATAACGACAACAATTAATAAATATTTAAAACATTTAGATATTAACACAATTTCTTGTGTTACACTTGTATCCCCCCCCACCCCCACTAAAACAGTGAAAAACTATGAAAACGTAGGGGTATGAACTCACCTCGTGTGCGTGTTCTTGGTTGGTTATGATGTGGTTGTGAAAATTCTCGGGTTAGAATACGTGATTTTAGCTTTATCCTAATAATATTATCATACGATATGTATTTAAATTAGTGAAATAAATAGTAAAGTGTCATATTAACACTAATTAATATAAGTTACTTACCAAAAAGTTAGAAGTGGTAATTGTGAAGAACTTGAAGTGAAAGCAAAAGAAGGTTGTTTTAGTTCTTGGAAATGAAAGGAATATTTGAGAGAGAATGGAAGTGATTCGGTTATAGAGGTGGAAAAAGTGTGACATATGTTCGAAATGTGCTTTATATACGAAGAAAAGATAGGCGGTTTAGTGTTTAAATATCTAGATATTTAGGGTTTTCGGTTAGGAACTCCAACCGAGGAAAGTGATTTCGGCCGAAAAGGGAAACCCACCGAGGAGGGTTTGCTGCTGGAAGGGAGTTTGCGGTCTAAGAGGATTGCGATCCGAGGGTTATCGGCCGAAAACAGGTTATCAGTCCGAAGATGCAGCCTCGCACGTTTGCGGCCGAAAATAGGGTTTGCGGTCCGAGGTGTTTACTGTCCGAAGGGGGTTTTCGGTGGGGCTAGATGAGAGGGTTCTCGGTTGAGTAGAAATAAGTCCCAAATTTTTCCAACACTTAAATAAAAAGGAATTTCCATATATTAAATTATTAATTTAGCCTTAATAAATTGCAAATCAACAAATTTAACTTTTATTTAGCAACTTTGACTTTTGTTGACCTTGGTTGACTTTTGTTGACTTTTACAGATTCGAAACTAATGGGTTGTTACATTATTTACCGTTAGAGGGAATTTCGTCCTGAAATTGTTTCTAAAGTGGTACTCATGAACTAGGAAAATATGTCGATACTTTTGTTTCATTTGATCTTCCCGTTCCCAAGAGAATGCAGGTCCCCGCTTGGCATTCCAGCGAACCTTCATTATTGGTATACGGATTTGTTTTGTTCTTTTGACTTCCCTATCCATGATTTCTACTGGTTCTTCTACGAAGTGTAGACTCTCATTTAACTCGATTTCATCGAGTGGGATACAAGAGTCTCATCAGACAAACACTTCTTGAGATTAGAGACGTGAAAAGTGGGATGAATGTTACTGAGTTCATGCGGTAGTTTGAGTTTATAAGCAACCGGACCAATTCTAGCAAGAATCTCGAATGGTCCGATGTACCTTGGATTTAATTTTCCACGTTTTCTGAAACGTATCATTCCTTTCCAGGGTGAGACCTTTAATAGGACACGGTCACCAACCTGGAATTCCAAGGGTTTTCGTCGATGGTCCGCATAACTCTTTTGTCTGTCTCTAGAAGCTTTCAGTCGTTCCCGGATTTGGACGATCTTTTATGTTGTTTCTCGAATGATCTCGGGACTGGTTAGAGTATTGTTGGGTACTTGGTTCTTAGCTAGTTGCGTGTCACCCACTTCAGCCCAACACAAAGGGGATTTGCACTTACGGCCATAGAGGGCTTCAAATAGAGCAACTTTGATGTTAGTGTGATAGCTGTTGTTGTACGAGAATTCGACTAGTGGTACATGGGTATCCCAAGCTTTACCAAAATCTATCACACAAGCTCTCAACATGTCTTCCAGCGCTTGTATGGTTCTCTCGCTTTGCCCATCAGTCTGAGGATGATACGTTGTACTCATATCAAGATTTGTTCCCAAGGACTTTTGTAGTGATTGCCAAAACCGCGAGGTAAATCTACTATCTCGATCAGATATAATGGATATTGGCACACCATGGAATTGTACTATTTCTTTAATATACGTCCTTATTAACCTCTCCATTTTGTCAGTTTCTTTTATTGGCAGGAAGTGTGCGGATTTGGTTAATCTGTCAACGATCACCAAAATGGTGTCATGACCACCCGTTGTCCTGGGTAACTTGGTTATGAAATCCATTGTAATCCGCTCCCACTTCCACTCATGTATTTCTGATTGTTGTAGTAGACCTGAGGGCTTTTGATATTCTACCTTAATTTTGGCGCAAGTCAGACACTTGCCCACATAGGTAGCAATCTCAACTTTCATGTTCGGCCACCAATAGAGTTTCTTGAGATCCAAATACATTTTGTCTGAACCTGGATGAACGGAGTATCGAGTTTTATGGGCTTCATTCATGACAACATCTCTGTAGCCACCAAACTTCAGTGTCCAGATCCGATTCATGAGATAACGAACTCCATCACCTTTGATTTCCAAGTTCTTTTCCATTCCTCTGAAAGCTTCACCTGTCACGTTTTCGGGTTTCAAGGCTTCCAGCTGAGCCTCCTTGATCTGTGTGGACAGGTGGGAATGGATAGTCATAGTTAGAGACTTTACTCCGCGGCCCGAGTACTCTTTACGACTAAGGGCATCCGCCACTACATTGGCTTTGTCGAGATGATAACGAATTTCGCACTCGTAATCATTGAGTAGTTCCACCCATCGTCGCTGTCTCATGTTAAGTTCCTTCTGATTGAATATGTGCTGGAGGCTTTTATGGTCGGTAAAGACTGTGTATTTCGTACCATACAGGTAATGCCTCCAGATCTTTAGAGCAAAAACTACTGCTCCCAGTTCGAGGTCGTGTGTGGTATAGTTGACTTCGTGGTTCTTAAGATGTCTCGAGGCATAGGATATGACCTTTCCTCGCTGCATAAGAACATAGCCTAGCCCTTGCTTGGACGCATCGCAGTA